CCATATTTGGTTACTGCTTTCCTGCTAGTTGTTCGTTATGTAAGGATGTAAATGAGCTTATTTATATTTATAAGTTGAACTCATTTTGAATCCATTAGAGAATCAGAGTAAGGCGTTATGCAATTGACCCTATCGTCAAAAAATTCGGCGGCGTCAGTGGAATTCGAACCGACGCTCAAAAGGGAAGGCTTAAGTATAGCTAACACTGTTACCAGCTGAGCTATGAAGGCCGCACCGCGGCCGTGGGTCAATTGAGTCCTTTAAATATACCAACATCCTCCAAATTAAACGTTATTCAATAGTACAGGTCCATTATAGAAACCTCAGGATGGTCTGACTTTCAAGAAACTGTACAGCTCATAGTATTTTGCATTTATCCACGGTTTTTAACAGATAAGCATTAGTAAACTATCAGTTTTTTGCAAAGGACGCTATCAAAGTCCGTAGGAAATTTAGTTTATAGGTCAGTTTCTTTTCTCAGAAGGACACTATCATAAACAATTTGGTTTCTTTTTCAGATTTAGTTCGCAACTTGCATAGGAATATTAGATGATGTCACTGCAGTCAGTGATATTGTCCGTAATTCTATTCGATTGTAGTTAAGCAAAATATATTAGACTTAGAAATGCTCTTTTAAACAAACTCACAACACTCAAAGCAGAACGTAGATCCCCTTGATATATGTGACGAATATTTGTTGATCTCTATTAAACATGCTTAATATTTGCATCCTCGTACTAAATTCTACGCGTTAAAAGCTTCCTATTGACCATTTTATCCCATACTAAAATTCGCATAAATAGCCGACGTAATTTATTTTTCCAGGGGATGGAAGTTAAAGACCAACAATTTGAAAATCTCTGCAACAATGCACTTGAGCTGCGTAACCAAATAAAGGAAAGAATCGAGAAGAAAGAGAGGAAACGGAAAATGAAGAAACAAACCAGACCAATACAGTGCAAAGGCTACTTGCAAGAGCTAATGGCCAAGTTGGCTGATGTCAGCTCATCTCTTAGCCAACTCTATCAAGACCCGAGGGACGTATCCTCCGCTGATGATTATATGAGGTTTTCGAATTACCTTCGAGACGGTCTACAGTACACACTTGAGCAAATAACAAAGTTCCTTGAAGGATCATCAAAAAATTTTGAATCCTCTCAGCTGAGTGCCTTTATAACAAAGCTTCATCATATGTAAGACAATTTTGCGAAATGTTTTTTTTTTCACTTTCGCTTTTAGTTGTATGTCGTTTGAGTAGTTTTTGGAGCTCGTAGCATTTTATGACCTTAGAGTATTTTGAATAAACTATTTTAAGATTGCTTTAGAGTAAGTGCACAAAGCAAGCATAGTTAAAACCTACTAATAATATCACCCCTTATTTAACTTATCCTATGCCCTCCGTGAATGGAGCCATTTTTGCTGAAAGTTCAGGGTTTTAAAATCCTCAATACAACACTATTTTTCTTCAAAAAAAATACTGTCATACCTCCATGTGTAATACATTTGTTATCGAATCCTGAGCGAATTGATGCGGGGATTTCCTCTTTACTTGCCTACTCCAAGTATTGCCATTTAACGGGAATAATTTTACTTCATGAAAAAGGTCAATGACCATTTTTACTCTTCAAGTTAATGAGCTTAAGAATATAATGTTAATTATAACTTTTAGTTATCTTTACTGTACCTGATTTTACTTTTACTCTACTTTTACAATTACTAGAAAAATAGATCTAGTGTACAAACTGTTGCCCTAACAGTTTAAGTGCGGAATGTATACAGCTACTGTGTGAAATAATCCTATTGGATTTCCTTAAACAAGGCTAGGCTTTATCTACCCATGATACACTCAGAGATTCACACTTCGGCAGGGTCTACACAAAT